TATTTACTGTAAACAGTAATTACTGTATATTAGATTTAAAATTATTTACTGTAAATGTACAGTACTTTACTGGCAACTCTGCTGCCAGTGAAATACCATAAATTGCGTTGTCTAGTATGGTACTGTAAAACAATGCATCACCCATGCCCAGTCTACAGTATTATCAGGTAAAATAACAAACCAGTATTTTACTGTAAAAGAAATACTGTAAATTGACAGCAATCTTTAGACAATTTAAAAAATATTTCCCTTGTCAACAAAAACAAAAATGTCAGCTCAACATATGATGAATTCCACCAGTTTTCAGGGGTCATAATATCTACATTGCAAACAAAGCCAATTTATTTACTGTCCAAAATGACCAGTGAACTTGACACAGTCTTGCAAGTTTTTATATGTAATGTTGATGATGGAGAAATAGTGTAAATCTGAAAAAGGATGTTTTCTTTGGGGACTATTTTGCTTTACATCACCCTGCACATACCCCTCCATATATATATATATATATATATATATATATATATATATATATATATATATATATGTGTGTGTGTGTGTGTGTGTGTGTGTGTGTGTGTGTGTGTGTTACAAAACAATGTCTCTGACATCAGGCAACGTATTTGCAGCACAATTATTGTGAAATTGTGACTTTCAGATGCAACTCTTTAAATCCTTTGGATATCTGGTTCCTATCACCTCCACTGTGGCCAATCTAGAACAGAGCATTTCACACCAAACCACTCTGAGCAATTTTGTTTACATCTTAATCATTTAATTATGCAGAATTTTCTCAGAATTATTGGAATTCCCCCGCTAATGCATAGGCAGTTTTCAGTATTTTACCCCAAAATAAAAGCAAACATTTACACCCTGCACTCTTTAAAAACAGTTGTTCCAAAATGGTTCTTGGCTTGACGTGTGTACTAGGAACAGGCGGGTATTGGTACACAGTGCTTATGTCATGGAGGATCTTTGACTTTAAAAGGGTTCTTCAGACTTGTACATCTCATTTACTAAACTGGTCCTTTGAAGACCCATCCATTTAAAAGTTGTTTTGGGAATCAAAAGTGGATCTTCTACCGCAGTCCTAAGTTCAATGACATGTACAGGGGTACAGGGTGGTCATGATCAGGTTGATAATGTTTGTGTCTCCATATTCAGACTGTTTTGACTGGTTGAGTGTTGGTAAAGGGTGTAAACCCACTGCGCTGGGCCTGCAGGCTCTATAGATGTGAAGAACGGATTACATCCAGTTTTGTTAGCAGTGACCTGGGGAAGGAAGTTGTTTAGTGTGCCGCAGTAGTAATCTCTGAACCCCTGAACTCGTCCGCACCCTCACACTGAAGGGGGGCATTTCCTTGCATGTCACAGCTTGGTTTCCGAAGCTTTTGGCTTTTCTAACGAGAGACATTTGAGAAGAGAGGAGGAAGAGGAGCAAATTGGATTAGTGGCATTACCTACAGCTTACACAACCTTACTGCAGCCATTGTTTGATCAAATAGAGGACTAAACCAGACCGAGGCCCAAATCAGACACGGTGGCGTATTTCTGTTTGTGCTAGTTTGTTTGGTTTAAAACAGATTTTTGGGCCTGTAATTATGTCAGACATAATTGCATCATATTTAATAGTATTTTAATATAGACATATACATATATTGTCTTGTATACATTTTTGTATAGACTACAATATACAACATATATAGAATTTATAACATACAGTGGTGCAAAAGTTTGAACATCCCTGGTGAAATTACACTTTTTTTTTCTCTACAGGGAACAAGCTTAAAAATTACCTTTTAAAATACATTTTAATGTACACTTGATCATACTGGAAAAACAAACTCTTTATGTTAAATTAAGCAAATAAACCGTAAAAGTGCAAAGTGTGTTCTCTGTAGAGGATGTGTTCAATTATTTTCACCAAACATTTCATTTCATGACTATTTCAATCATAGTCATTTGACTACAGTGCATACCTCTTTATTTATATGTATACAGTGGTATGCAAAAGTTTGGGCACCATTGGTCAAATTACATGTTTTGTGAAAAGAAATTAATGTAGTATTTTTTATAAAAAAAAAAGGTATTATATATTGGTATATATGTGTACAAACCCCGTCAATAATACCTTTATTGTAAAAAAAATCTGTTTTGTTTCCATTATATTGTTCTGAATACATTTGTGTGTGTGTGTGTGTGTGTGTGTGTGTGTGTGTGTGTGTGTGTGTGTGTGTGTGTTTGTTATTGTTTGTTTTGCTCTCAGTTGGAAACAGTAAGTGTTGACACAAACTTGCTTCACTACAGTAAGAATGTCAAATTGATATATGACATAATTGATACTTCACAGGTGCTCCTGCTTCCCACTTGTGCTTTGGCAGGTAAGTGATAAACAGCTGTAACAACTGAAGGAAACTGTTGACGTAACGTATATTTTATTTAAGCTAATGCACGTATTTAAAGCAAGAATGGCATGTATAATAATGTTTTATATATATATATATATATTTTAAATATATATGCATACATACATGTGTGTGTGTGTGTGTGTGTGTGTGTGTGTGTGTGTGTGTGTGTGTGTGAGAGAGAGAGAGAAAGAGCGAGAGAGAGAAGCTACGTACGTTTAAAAGCTACGTATCTGGGCAGTAAGTGTTTATTATTTAGCTCAGAAAAAAACACTCATTTTAGAATAAATACAAATAACATTAATAAGTAGTGATTTTATGTATGACCGCGTGCTCATTTAGCCATTTCCAAACCTTTACCAAACCTCTCCTCATGGCCAAATTTCCCTCTCCTTTGGCAAATTTAAACTTCATTATATTAAATCAAATGTTCTGGTGATGAAATGTAATAAATGTGTGCGATGGTTTTGTTGACCAAACTAGCTATCAGCTATTATTTCAAAATAAGAACTGCTTGTTTCTTTTTATTGTTTTATTGTATTTATATTTATGGGTTTAAATAATGTGCTTAGGTGCGTAATTTATATATATATATATATATATATATATATATATATATATATATATATATATATATATATATATATCGCTGCTTATTGATCTATATATTTTATTTTATACAACTTGTGTGAAGTTTTATTAATTTATTTATTCAACATTTGTAACCCGTTCCTAGCATTACGGAGATTCACCATGTGTTCTTAGTGTTCGCGATGAGCTTTGCTGGTTTCGCTGTAATTGTGTTAGAGCTGGGTGGACAGCTCGGGTCCTGGAGGCCTGGTGTCCAGCACAGTTTCCTGCTTAAACACACCTTATTCAAGTCATGTATTAATTGTCAGTATTGCTGGATGTGTGTAAGTAGAGGGACCACCAGGCCCTCCAGGACCGGAGTTGTGCGGCCCTGAGTTAGAGAGGGCAGAACCCCTCGCGCTGATTCACAGTCCTTTATAGCGGATATGAATATATATTAAAGACAATAAAGCAGTGCAGAGCGAGGAGGACCGGATAGTTTGGACCTTAAAGAAGAGCGAGAGGAAGATCTGCCCGCCACGGCGAGTGTATTTATTTATTTAATCGTTCCTGTAGTAACATGTATGATATTCGCCTTTTCTTTTATAAACTCTCTTGTCTGATGAGCTGAAGGCCGGACCGTGAAGCCCCCTGCCCTCAGAGCGGGTCGGTGCTTCTAAATAAAGGTTCTGTGCAGGTACGTTTTTTGTTCATCAAGGCACAAACGATGTAAATGTTGCCTCAAAGGTACAACAGTGGTTGTAAGGCCCAACTGTGTACCTTAATGAGGTTTTTCCAGGTGAAAAGTACATATTTGTATCTTTTTAAAGTTTTAAAACAGAACAGTAAAATAAAAAGCCTGGAGGCGAGACGGGGTGTGTGGAGTCAGTACAGCTTAGAAAACATAATTTCAATGGATTATGATACAATTATGTTCCCAGACTAAAGATACTGAGATGTACCCTTGAGGGTCCCACCCCAGTGACAGCGCCGTACCCTTATTTCTGAGAGTGTAGTTCCGAATCTGAACCAGGTGTGTGTGAAGTGTCCGATCACTGCGCTGAAGCTCATGTGCGTTAGTGCATTATTTCTGTTAATAAAGTAGCGATGCATAAACCACTAATCAACACTATAGAATCTATATGCATCCGTGTGACGCAGTTCTGTGTACAGTCGAGTCTGTAATTAATACAAGTGGGGCTGCAATATTACAGCATATGCTGGAGCGCAGAGTCCGCGGGGCCTAAAGGCTACAGTTAGCAAGTGCTAACTCAACAGCGCTGCATCAACACACACAGTGACGCTTCAGTAACTGTAGGTTTGAATAAAATCCTACAGTGTTGAATTACAGACAATATGAGAGTAAGTTGTTGTTATTGTTGTTTACATTAATAACAGGCCACATAATAAAATATTCACTGCCTATAAATATGACCTCCTGACTGGTGATGATGTTGCACATTTGTTGTTGGTTTATTTGCGTTTTTGTAATAAATGCGCAGCTAAAAAGCTCCAGTTTTTGCTTGAACATCTACAATCAACTCTGACAGTGGTTTTAACACCTGATAAACGCTGTAAACTCAAAAGTCATGTTACTGTATGAAGCAGCAACACGGCTCTGAGTCTCACGTGCCTGGAATGTATACTTTTATGGATGTTTCTGATGTTTCAGTGGATTTTTATTAGCAGACATGCCTAATCATCAGACACTCAACAAGCCATGAAAGAAAGTCAGTTTTACGTTATGGAGAGACGTTTTGGTGAGATTAGCATCTGCTACTACCAGATTATGTAGCTGCACGTGCCACAAGAAATGCACTCTGTGTTAATACAGAAATATTACAATACTTTATTTCTTTGTTCTGAACCAGGTTCAGCATTTCTGTACAGAAAAGTAATAATAATAATAATAATAATAATAATAATAATAGTAATAATAATAATAACCAAAACCAACAAACTAGTACAAACGCACACTGAATGCCTAACGGTTACTAAAGGTGCAAAAAATGAAAAAACAAAAAAAAAATCAAGCTACAGTTTACAAACCGAGTTTCTCCACCGGATCAAACACGAGATAATCCGAAGGGAAAATGCAGGCTGGAGGTGATGGTGGGCGAGGCGAGCAAATGACAGAAAAAAGGACACAAGAAATGCCACAGCAGTGACAGGGAAGGTCAATGAAGGTGTTAAAAACAAAAACAAAACAAAAAAAAAAAACCCACAGTCATCAAACTGCCCAACAGCCGGAATATTGCTACTGTGATAAAAACAACACGGCCATGTGGCCTCTCAGTGGCCGAGCTATGGACACTGTGCTGCGTAACACTGACAGCCTAAAGTCATTAGGTTTAACAGTCAAATCAGCACATGCATCTCTAATGTCACTGCGACACAAAGTGCGGCTCTCAAAGAGCTTTAAAGACACACTGTACCCTTAGATTCCTCACACACGAATCCTAAAGGCCCACACCCCTCAAAAATGCCCTCTCTTACCAAATAAGAGGTAAATCAGTGGGTAAACATTGCATATCATCTGATAGCTTGAACACACATTGCTAAATTCATTGTCAGGACGCATAAAGACCTGAGGTTTTTTTTTTTTTATCTTAAAAACCTTCTCCGTTTGTCAACCCTGAATGAACGTGTTAAGGCGCATTCACAGTACGGGACGTTCAGTAATCACAGAGGAGGAGAGTAAGAGCCATAAGAGCCAGCTAGTTACTAATATAAAGGACCAAGATTCATAGGATGGAGAGAGAGGGAGAGAGAGAGAGACACGTTCTCAACATGTTCAATAAATACAAAAACGTGGATTGTCATTCACAAAGATTTTTTTTAAATAATAATAATAATAACGATAATAATAATAATAATCATACAAAACACATATATATGTATTGCCTTTGGCGTGACATCATACTACTGGTACAAAATTATTTCTATATTTTAAATAGATATAAAAAAAGAAGAAAAAAAACGAACACTCTAATTGGACCCAGAGTAGATCCTTGCGGAACGCAAAAAAGGGAGAACTTGTGTGTTTCGTGTTGTTGGGGACACGTGAAGGGTCCTGGGAAAGTTTTATTCGGATCTTTTAGCCCCGACAGGCTCCTCGCAGCGCTCAGCTGAGGAACGAGCTCGGTGCCACCCGTTTGTGGTGCGCGAGCACTCCAGAAAAGCCGCTGGAAAGCGTGGAGGAGAAAGACGGCAAGCTAGTTCTTAAGGACTCCGGGGAGCTGCTGGAGATGCCGTATCCTGGCGCGCTCTGCAGGGCCTGGGGCTGCTGCGCCCCGGCCACGAAGTAGCCATCGTGCCCTGCTAGTAGTCCAGCCGGGGGCGAGCTGACGCTGTAGCCACCGACGGAAGCGCCCAGCACGGGGCGCCCAGCCACGTCCCCGTTGGAGATGCCCTCAGCGCCGGGCAGTAGCGAGCTGTACGCCGCCGCGTGTCCCTGGTTGAGAAAGCCGTGCGCCGAGCCGTTGTAGTGCGGGTGATGGTGGTGGTGGTGGAGGGGCAAGAAGGGCGACAGCTGCCAGTAGAGGGGATTGCTCGCGCGCTCGCCCAGCCCCAGTCCCAGGGGCGCGAAGCGGAGCCCCCTCTTCATCACCAGCTTCCCTCGCGAAGTGGCCGAGCGCCGGCGCAGCTTGCCCGTGGTGCCTCCGATGAAGACGTCGTCGCTGGACGGGTCCAGCATCCAGTAGTTGCCCTTGCCCGGGTCGTCGTAGTGGCGCGGCACCTTCACGAAGCATTTGTTGAGGCTCAGGTTGTGGCGGATGGAGTTCTGCCAGCCCTGTTTGTGCTCCCGGTAGTAGGGGAAGTTCTTCATGATGAACTCGTAGATGCCGTTGAGCGTGAGCCGCTTCTCGGGACTCTGCCTGATGGCCATCATGATGAGCGCGTTGTAGCTGAACGGAGGCTTGTCGTGTTTGCCTCCTTTGCCCTGCTGCTGATGTTGTTGTTGTTGCTGTTGTTGTTGTTGATGCTGATGATGCTCCTGCTGCTCGCCGTCCGCTCCCGCGTGCTCGTGCTCGTGCTCTTCCTCGTCGTCCCTGGGTCGCTCGCGCTCCGGAGACTCCCCCTCCATCCCCGCGGGTCGCTCCGGGAGCCCGGCGCCCTCCTCCTCCAGCTTGGACGGTAGCAGGAGGCTCTTGATGCTGAACGACGTCGACTTCTGAACCATAGTGTGCTCCCGCTGATCTCCCATGCCCCGCAAAAAGGAAATAATAATAATACGAGCAGTTATAACGACAACAGATCCGTAGAAAATCGCAAACGGGTCACGCGCGCTTGGACGGAGGAGACATCGCCGCACGCATGACGGGGCTTCGAGGACGCAGGAGTCGAGAAATTACTAATTAAGCAGCATTAAGCAGCAGCAGCGGCTCATCGCGGGCTGAAGGTGGAGGGGAGGAGGAGGAAGAGGAGGAGGAGGAGGAGCTGGGAACTTGGTGAGAAATGTTTTCGCGCTACGCGTTCCTGCTTTCTGACTTTATCCCGGAGCTCGGGCGCCTGACGTGGCCGCTGTAGGAGGGACGGAGATACACTCAGCATTCATTCATATACACGCTCACAGTGCGCGTTAGAGAGCAGTCTGCTCCTATTCTGTCGTGTGGGAGGCGCTTTGGCAACGTTACTAACAGCTTAAGCCTCTCATTTGTTTGTTTGTTTGTTTTTTATTTGTTGTCTGTAAACGTGCACGCCCTAGAAAACACATCAGCAACACTGGCACATGTAAAAAAAAAAGGGAAATCAATGTCAGTCATAAACGCACCCACAACTGCTGAATGACCAGCATGCTCTTATTGCTGCATGTACAAAGTTAACAGTGTGGACCTTTTCTTATTCATTTACTTATTTGTTTGGTTACATGCGTGAGTAAATATCCACATACGAAAAAATCAATAACTGCAAGAAAAGTCAATAGGATTTGGACTAAATATCGATCTGTTTGCTGTGTTGTATATTTCCTTAACATATATATATATATATATATATATATATATATATATATATATATATATATATATATATGTGTGTGTGTGTGTGTGTGTATATTTATTCATTCATTCCTTAATTTATTTATTTATCCTTAAGTGTCGTGGTCGGTGAACGTGCACACAACTTTAAAAACAGATTTATACCTGTTTTTAACTGGATTAAAATACTGATGTGTTTCCTCTCTGTATGAGATTAGAGCGCCTCTAGTGGCTGCAGATACGAATAGCAGAGCAGTATTGTTTTTCCCACCCGTATTCGACAAATCCGCCCACCTGCACCACGATTGGCTAGTAAGTCACGCTCAAGCGCAGGCGCACGCGTTCTAGAACACTTTTGAGTCTGGACCTCTAGCTAATCATAGTGCAGGAGACGCGACGCGACCAGCCAGTCACAGCGCAGAGAGGCGGGGTTTGTCTGAATACGGGTGGGAAAAGAAAACAACGCCGGTACGCGTGCTATCTATTTCTCCTCTCTTCACGCTCTGAGAGCTGCCAGGTCTGAGCTGGAGTCACTGTTAGGAGCCTCCCAGAAATAAAGCAGCGACAGATTTAAAAAGTTTTAAAGTGTTTTAATAAGCTCGATTTTTGCGGTTTGTGCACTTTTGCCAAAGGTGGTCGCATTCACGCGCTCACAGTTGAGGAGCCGCAACTGTCTTAGAAATGCGAACTGACAAACACTCTTCAAACAGAAAACAGATCAGAGTCAGAAAACAACACATTCTGCCTCTGAATACTCATCAGCGTGTTGAGGTGGAGACACGTTTGCGATATTTGAACGCAGAGAAAACAACACGACACACAAAGTGTTAAAACAGATGACAAGTAATTGTGTTGTTATTGAACACATCGCTTCTTAGAGTTTAGAAAATACAGCGTGTGATTTTTCCTTTTTTCTCTTTTTCCTTTTTTATTTTAAGCAAATTTAAATTCTGATCAATAAATTTAACCTTTTGCGTTTATTTGGTGACTTTATTTTAATGTTACATCGATGTTCGTCATTTTTTAGTATTTTTTAGATTTATTTATTTATTTATTTGTTTGTTTATTTATTTGATGGCGCGGATATTTATCACTTATTGTATTTAACATCACTTTGTAATCCCGTTTGTTTCCTCGGGGTTTGATTTAAGGTCTTTCTTTTTTTTTTTACTAATTGACTAATTTAATGTCTTTTTGCTGCTTCTCAAATAGTGTCGGTCTGTTTTATCTGGAGAGAATCATTCACAAATCTGTTGAATGAAGCTTTTTCATCCCGCTAAATTTACCGGTTCGTGTTGAACTGGAGGTTGACCGTCTCGCGCACGCGCTGCATAAATGTTCGATATTTTATTATTTTTACAGTGAATGTAATTACATATATATCTTGGTTCTTAGTCCACATTTAGAGTTTTGTCCAACGCAACGAATAAAAAACTCGCTCAGTTTAAAGTAAAACGTTTTAAAATAAAATATTAATAAATTAATGTAATATAATATTATTAAACGAATTCATAAATTATTTTGAACTGAGAAAAGGATCTATTTCTTCACCCACTGATGGAATTTAAAAGTTGTTTATGATGTTATGATGTAAATTGCTGAAGGATGACGTTGATGGATGCGTCAGTGTAACTTCATTATGAAACACGTTTAAAGGCACATATTTCTGGTTTCTACTGCAGACATTTAGAAACAGCCCGAGGCGTCACAGTCAGTGTAACTGTTTCTAAACCAGTTTCTTTTTCCATATCTGAACAGGAAGTCATTAGCAGAACGGAATCGGCTCAGCTCCTAAACTAACATTATTATTTTACACCTTTTCATACATTCACGTAGAGATTCTTTATGACGTACTTGCACGTGTGATTGTCCGACCAAAACCTTTATAAAGCCTTTATAAATCAGTAACATATTGCTGTTAAAATATATTGAAAATACATAGGTTTAAAATGCCTTTTAAAACAGAAGTATGTGAACACTAGAAACTCAGGCTATAATGTTAACAACATGGAGGCTGAACTGAACTGATTATGCAGCTTTTAAACGTTTTAAAAAGTAACTGGGTTAACTTGCAATGTTGAGTTCACTGAGCCTCGAATAATAAGTGAACACAAATTATTCTTTGTTAATCTAATATTACAGCTTCAGTCAACTCAACATTTCACATTAACCTGGTTATGTTTTTAAAAAGTGTAAAAGCTGCATCATTTTTATGAGGACAAAAAGTGTAAGATGTGGCCTAAAACTTTGTTCTAAGGAAGGAAAAACAAGACCAAGTCTCTTCAATTCCAGAAGGACCCCCTCCTTTCCCCCTTTGCCCACCTCCTCCACAGACACACAGAGGACTCACTCAACCCTATAAATATCACTGTAAAAAGTGGCTCCTCAGAACTACCTAAAATAATTACTTAATATGGTAACAAGCAACTGAAATAGATTTTATTCAACTCATAATTCTTTGACTGGAAGAGTCCTTCATTCAGAGTGTTTATTTAGGCTGAATAAGACAAGTTAATTTACTTTTTACCACAAGACATTTTTTAGGTTGAATTCAGGAGCCATTTTTGCTCTGGTCAAACACAGTAAGATTTGATTGGTAAACGTTTTTTTCTCTCTCTCAGGCAGGAGTTCACATCTCAGGCTATAAACACACGATCTTTATCTCCCTTAAAAACCTCATAAAATAGAGTTCTGAGTATAAACCCCAACAAAATGTCTGAGAATAAGAGCTGAGCAGGTAATGTCTGGTTATAATTTTTTTTTGTTCATAAATGCTGTTCCATATTTAATTTTTAAAAGAACTGGATTTACATGTTAACATGCCATAAAATATGAAGCCTCCTGCACTTACGCACTCAAAAACTACAAAAAAGAGGCGCGGTCTCTGTCACAGGTGGAACACCTCACTTCACTGTACTGTAAAAAATGGCTCGTCAGATCAACCTAAAAAAGTACTTCATGTAGTAGCAAGCAACTAAACTAGTTTTATTCAGCTCAAAATATTACATCAATTCAAAGTTGTTTAGGGTGAATAAAACTAGTTAATTTACTTTTTATTTTTATTTAGGTTGAATTGATGAGCCATTTTTGCTCTGATTGAACACAATACGATTTGATGGATAAACATTTTTGCTCTCTCTCAGGCAGGAGTTCACATATCAGACTATAAATACAGCTTCAACTGTGCCTCTGTATCTCCCTTAAAAACCTCATAAAGTATAAAATATATCAAAGCATCTAGAAATAAGAGCTGAGCAGGTAATGTCTAGTTATAAAATGTTTTTGTTCATAAATGCTGTTCCATATTTCATTTTTAAAAGAACTGAATGTACATGTTCACATACCAAAATATGAAGCCTCCTGATTTGAACTGCCATTAAACACTCACAGAAAAAAAGGCACAAAAAAAGGTGTGGTCACTGTCAAAGGTGGGACACCTCACTTCACTGTACTGTAAACAAATGGCTCATCATATCAACCTAAAAAAATACTTAATGTAGTAACAAGCAACTAAACTAGTTTTATTCAACTCAAAATATTACATCAATTCAAAGAATCGTTCACTCAAACTGTTTATTTAGGCTGAATACAACTAGTTAATTTACTTGTTACCACATTAAGTAATTCTTTTAGGTTGAACTGAGGAGCCATTTTTACAGGGTGGTGCGGTACCTTTAAGGGTCTTCAGTGCCTTTTATAGGGAACATAACTGTACCATAATCCATTGTAATTATATTTTCTAAGTTGTACTGACTCCACACACCCCGTCTCGCCTCCAGGCTTCTTATTTTATTGTTCTGTTTTAAAACTTTAGGTTATGAAAAGGTACAAATATGTACTTTTCACCTGGAAAAAAACTTGTTTAAGGTTCACAATCAGACCTTAAAACCACTGTTGTACCTTTGAGGCAACATTTACATTGTTTGTACCTTGATGAACGAAAAATGTTCCTGCACAGAACCTTTATTTCTAACAGTGCAGTTTTATTCGACTTAAACAATTACTTTGAAACAGTTCTTCATACAAAGTATTTATTTAGGTTGAATAAAACTAGTTAATCTACTTGTTACCACATGAAGTACATTTTTAGGTTGATCTGCTGAGCCACTTTTTACAGTGAGTGTGGTGTTTGTAATATATAGTTGCAGAAAATATCTAAATGAAATGTAAATGAAGTGTCAGTGAAAATGACTTTTTCTAAAGAGGATAAACTTCATTGTGATATTTGTCTGCTAATTTTAGTGCACAATTGCTGAGACTAATATATTGGAAATAAAGAAAGTATAAAATACAAAATGTGTCATAACTTTCTCACAAGCCACAATATAGTTTATATAGTTTATTTATTTTCCCAAGTTGTTAAATTCAGCAAATGAGCAGCAGTTGTGCTTTGAAGTGTGCAGAAGTGTGTTCACTGTAGAGCGTCTGTTCACTAATTTTCACTTAGAAAATCAACACTTAATTTGACCAGGACGCCCAAACTTTTGCACACAACTGTAGGCTCTGCATGTTAAAGCTACTCTTTATACAATCCCCCATTCAAATTACTAAAGCTTTGTCTAAAGTTTGGGAGCTTCCTCTCTTCCTGTGAAATGTTTCTCGTAAGTTTTGATTTTCACTGTTACTTTTCTGTTCAGGAAAAATTAATTGCAAATGTTTTGTTACCATAAAAGAGCTGTTAATCCTTA